TCTCCTCAATTATGTTAGAAAGCAATTTTCATTCCATAGTTTCTCGTAATAATGGCTAGACGAATAGTAATCTTAATGATGGAGATACGCTGAGTGTGTTAAAAAACGGGATCCCCAAAAGCTTAAGCCTGGTTCTGGATAAACCTGGACATAGACACAACAGGTGTTCTGGTGTCTTTTCTTCCAGCGCCGGCATACACGTGTTGTAGGAAATGCAATACGTTAGACCGAGTTTAACTTCATGTCGTCCAGTGGTCCAGTGCCCTGCAAAGACATATATTAGCTTAGGTACCCCTGATTTGCTTCTTTGTATCAAGTTATTTGACCTGGCTGCTGAGAAAGTATGCGCCCACTCTTAATTAGTCTATCGTAAAAAATGGTCATAAATCAATTTACGATTGTAGGTGGCAGGCGCACGGATTGAAATAAAGGTGTCCGTAGAAGAGGTACCCAATCAAGCAAGCTCATCTGTGCGCTAAATTCCTACCATATTAGAATGCCCGGGAACCCAAAGTAGAGTTACCTTGGAGATCTCGCTTCGTGTCTTAACAAATTGTCTTCACTCTTTCACTAATTTAGATGAAATGCAGACTGCTGATACAGCTTAAATAGCTGCCTGAATGACAATAAGAATATACACCTTCTTTTCATGAAAGTCGATGTTCAAAGTAAGAGAACATACTCGCAGAATGGCAAAAATTTTTGTCTGAAATATTGAAATAGAATCGAAGATAATTTTTTCGCAAAAAATTTTCAGTTGAGATTGATGGGTTCAATAGCATATTCAAGGTATATTGATAATTTCCTGACTTCGCAAGCTGTTAAAGTTTTGAAAAATATAGATTATCGTTTAGTATTAAATTTCCTCCATTTCAAAGAAATGAACAATGATGCAATTAAATTGGGAATGGATTCTGTTTATGCCAATCTTGCACCATCGTCAATAATAATAGTAAATAAATATTAGAAAGCTAAATTAAAACTTGATTGTACAAGTGTTTTTGATGAAGAGCGTCCGGGTCCTTCAAAAGAGGTCGCAACCGGAAAATCATTGAAGACATCCACGATATTTTATTGGGTTATCCAAAAATATATTGCGTGTTTTTTAACAGAAATGACAAACATATCATACAAATTTATATCGAATATTTTACATGAATGTTTGGATATAAAAAAACTTTCGACAAGATGGGTGCCGCGTTTGTCAAAGACAACGACTTGATCGTTCAAAACATTGTTTGGAAATGTTTATTTACAATCTAGCTGATTGCGAGTAGTAGAGTCGAGTAGTGACAATTCATAAAACATGATTCCATTACTTCACACCTAAAGAAAAACAACAAGCCCGAGATGGACCTCGGGGTTATTGCTCCCAAATGACCACGAAGTCAACAATCGGTTGAAAAATTTTTGGCTTTCGTATTTTGAGATTCAAGTGGAATAATTTTCAGAGATTATTTGGAAAAAGGAAAAACAATAATATGAGACTAATTATTTTTACAAATACAAAGAGATTCATTATGCTTTATTTATTTATTTCTTATACATAAATTTTAATATAAAAGGAATAATTTTGAAGAAATATATTTTTTCTTGCGGTTTTCCTGAATTTTCTCTAAACTATACAACTGTAACACTATATGTGTATATATAATATATATGTCTATAGTATACGTGTCCATAAATTTTTTTATTCAATTTTTTCATGAAATCTTGAATAATTTTCCACGTGTCGAAATGAAAACTATCATTCTAACATTAAAGGCAATTTGACAATATTTATTATTATAATTGGCAATTTGTTCTGTAAACTACATTATTTGTAAAAATGTTCAATTTACTTGGAAATGCAGTTAGTTTGTCCTTCGCTTCCATTTAATATCCTTTTAAGCTTTGTTTCGTTAGTTTTATTTACGTTGCTTTAGTTCTCCCTAATCGCAGTAATAGGTTTGTAATATCTCCTGTGCACTTAAGTGCATTAGGGAACTATTAAATCCGCATAATAAACAAAGAAACTATAAAAGCTGTCAATCTAATGGCATTCAGTTGAAATCTATGAAAGCCCAAGTGGGAAAATAAAACAACTGGGACATATGTTGTTATTATTGAAAACATTGGAATTAAAGCAAGACATTCGCAATTAATCCTTTTCAATATACTTTTCATTAGAATAAAACAAACCGAA